CTTGGACTGGAACCTTTCGAGAGCCGCTGCTTGCCTGACAGAGTCGGGGACATTGGGACACGAGGAGAGGTGTCGGACCATTCTATCTATCTTGCCTGGCATATAAAATGAAGCTGTCTTGTCGGCCATGACTGTCCATATATGATAGAGTATCAGCAGAGTTTGTTTTAAAGAGATTACAGAGACATACCGCATGCCTCGGCATCTTCATAGCTCATCACTACTCCCGCAGATCCCGAGCTTTGACTAGTCACCCTCTGAAACTGTACAATTTCATTTGTACGGTGCTTGAGGCACGAATTGCACCATGCATCCCAGTGGACGGTGTCATTCTTGTAGTGCTGCGTGCCCTTCCGGAAGTATTCCCACCACTGAGAGACCGTCGGCATAGATCACTGATGATGGATAACGAGATGGGTTTCGCAGGGGAAGGTAACGCGCCGTAATCAACGTAACATTCAACTTCAACGAGACGCGCTTGCCCGGTCTCAGCTTCCGGGCGCGCAATGCACGTGACTATCTATGATATCATTACGGCCTCATATGGCAGGTACAAGTCATGTGCGGGTCACGCATTAACTCCTTAACTTTCGTCAAACCTGGGTTTAACGTGGGAAACTGGTCAAACCCGGTCCAGGAGGCAAGGGGTTCAGCCTTAACCGGCCCATCACTGGCCACAATTACCAACCGGCCACAATTGCCATGAGCGTCTAATTGGTTCCCACGGACCCGGCAAGTACAATGAATGGCTTCGGCGCCATGACATTCCACTTTACATCTCCTTGTTCCAGTGCTGCTGCTCTTCCCTTCCGTTCTTTCACTTTATTCGGCTCGAGGCTAGGGAAGAGCGAGCTCGTTGGCTAAACCCACCCAATTTACACTTTATTTGTTCGCTTGCTCAGCCATAATGCGCTACGGTCTCGCTTTCCCGCTTTCGCTACTCGCTTACCTGTCCTTCGCCGACGCGCAGTCGACCTCTTCTTCTACATCGTCACGGTCGATTTCGACGACCGGGACAGCCTCTAGCTTGAGCTCGACGGTTTCAGGAGCGTCTAATGCGTCCAGTTTGACCTCCGCATCGTCGACTACGACTTCCTATCCCAGCCTGAGCACGGTCTCCTCATGCGGTATGTTCATCGCCCTTTAACGCTTCCAGTCAACCTGTGTGAACTGGAGAATAGTATCCCAATGCTTCGCCGTCGCTTCTGCCGCCGCCAACTGTAGCAGCATCATTGAAGTCAACTGCTACTGCAACGCGACCAATATCGCCCGGTTCGAGACATCCATGTACAGCTGCATCTCCACGCAGTGCTCCTCCACGGACCTACTCGTTGGCGAGAACATATCCCAGCAGTTCTGCAACCTCGCAAGCTCGAGCGCGAGCCTGACGTGGCCCGCGACGACCACCAGCGCATCTCAGACCAGTAGCGGGAGCAGGTCCAGCTCGACGGCGCCGCCCTCGTCATCGAGCTCGAGCTCAAGCGCACCGACGAGCAGTGCGTCGGGGAATGCTGCGGCAGGTGGCAGAGGACTGGGTTATGGGGGCGGGGTGACGTTAGGATTGGTTGTAGGAGGTGTGGGTGCGCTGCTTGGGGCAACTTTAGTCTAGGCGATTCAGCCGAGAGGGGATGGACTTTTCGTCAGGGATACTATGGATGAGGGGCGTTGGGCAAAGGACTTTAACCTACGATGACACCCAGGACAGCTCCTGGAGGTACGCGCACATTCGAGCATGTATGTTATGGGCTCTGATCCTACCGGCTACGATGCATTCACGCTCTTTCAAGTTTGTATCATCCGATGACCACCGGTCTTGCTTCACGTTGGTCTGGATGTGCTTATTCGATGCATAAGTATACCCGATACCGTTGCTTGTACATCTCCCTTGACTCCGTCACTCAGTCATACAAACGAAAGTAAGTTTCCCTCATTCTGGGACCTTTAATAAGCATGAACAAGTAAGTTGTGTCTTCTGAATGTCGTAAAAATACATAAAGCTCGTCCCAAGTCATGTATAGCTAGAAAGTTCGTTGCATCACAACAACATCCACAACACTCCCCAACCTTAACCCGACTCATCTCCAATCCCGCAGAATACCTACACGAACCTGACCTTCTCGTTCACCCGGACGGGCATCCGCGCCTTCTCAGTCACCGGGAGCACCTCCTAGAAAGAGGAGCAGAACATCAGGTCAGCATAACGCACGTCAAGAAGCCCAACCACGCATCGCGATAAATAGATACACAGAAACAAAATGAAACAAAATGGAGCCAATCACGCGTCCTCCATACCCAAACACCCAGCGAACCCCTCCCCCCAGAACGGATCGTAACTCACCTGCGGCTCCGGCTCCTCGAGGCGGATGTACGCCCGGCGCTTGTTCCTGCGCGCGACGAACCGGGTGAGGAAGAACATGCCGACGAGCATGACGAGCGCGAGGAGCGCCGCGCAGATACCGTTGACGCTTGCGCTGTTGCTCACCCACCCCGAGACCTCGTTCGGGCTTCCGCTGCATACACGCGCCCACTGCTTGTTCGAGTCGATCACGTAGTTCTGTAAGGTACGGAGCATACAGTTAGATCGTGTGCAGAGATGAGGGTAGGGAAAGAAGAAAGAACCTCGGTGCGGTAGATGAACTCTGTGAGCGGGATGTCCCCGTTGTGGCCGAAGACGTGTAACACCTGGAAGTCGGCGTCGTCCGTCCCATTCTTGAACTTGAACCGCAGGAAGTCGCGAGGGTCGCCCTCGTCGCCGCCGCGCAGCTCGATCGCGAGCGCGCTTGCAAAGTTCGCTGTGGATCATCACATGAATTAGTATTAGCATCGGTTTTCGCAAGAATCGCATGATTCAAGAACGGAGTGGAGGAAGGAGTACGTACGCATGGCCTGAAGTTCTGGGTAGCGCTCGGCGATGCCTGTCATGTGGAAGAGCGAGATGAACGGCTGGTACGATATCTCCTGGACCATGAGCTGCAGGGGGTCGTCATCCCACACGATGCGCTCCATCGCCGTCAGGATGGGGCTCAGAACCGTGCGGGCAGGCACTGCACAATGAATCAGTACGGTGCCGCGAGGGTCTTAAGGGTCAGACTCACGGTTACCGATACCTCCGATATCCTTGGATGAGAAGACGCCGTTCTCGTGGAAGTTGGCCCAGTGCCGTGCCTGCTCGATGTAGGTCGGCGGTAGGCGGTAGGCGTAGGACTTGTTGTAGGTCAGCTCCGTTCCGACGAAGTCGAATACCTATCCGTGTCCATGAGGTGAAAATGAGAAACAAGCTACCAACAGCAAGGGGCTCACATTGTACTATAGATGCAGAAAAGCGTGTTAGATCCTTCGAGAAAGGCGGAGGCTTCTACACTTACCGCGTTCTCAAAGGATACCTCGGGGCCGTAGACGAAGCCCTTGACTGCGTTGAAGAAAGGCTCGGCGTTCTTCGCCTCCTTCTTGAACTCGTCCGAGCCGTAGAAGTTCTTGATGTGCTTCTCGAAGGCGGGACAGTCCGTCCAGCTCTCCAGAGAGCGGTCATTCGACGGCTCGACGGTCTCAACTGCCCAAATCGGGCTCTTCAGCGTCACACAAGCCGCACAGGCATATCACGCACCAGGGATATATTGGTACCCGTTAAGCGGAGCCACCACGGTCTCTCCGTTCGCGAGGGTCATCCTGTTGTTGGGGTTCGGAGGGAACAGCCCCTGCAGGAGCGCGATGCACGAGTCGAAAACGGGCTTGCCCTCGCCGCCATTCTTCACCCTGATGTGGATCTGCTTCGTGTTCACCAGATCGTAGCGCATCCCGCGGATGCGCGAGGGCGAGTTCTCATTCAGATACGTCTCGCGGAGGAAGCGGCCAAGGTTGTGCGACTCCGCCTGCGAAGGGTCAGTTACTTTGGAGACCATCGGTCTGGGCTGGTAACTCACCTCGCCGAGAGGGGTGGCCTCGGTCGGGCCGGGAGCGTAGTTGCTCGGACTCTGGGGGTAGAACGTTCGGTCGCCATTGCGGGCGAGGATAACAGCGCCTTTGACTTCGATATGCGACATCTTCAGATCTTGTATCTTGTGAGGTGTGCTGAGTTAGAGACCTGAAGACTGGTGAATGTCGATCTGAGCCCAATAGACCATGATTATATACAAGACTCCGAGTATTCACTCAGCCGGGGAGCCTGGGCCGTGCATGCTGGCTGGAGGAGCGCTGTGGTGCTCATGACTGCGAGAGCATGGCAGATCCACGCCGTAACAATGTAGTGCCTCGCTAGATGTGTCTGCTTCAATTTCTTCCGAATAACTGAAGCTCATGATCTCGAATTCAAGGTACTGGAATCGAAGAGAAGCAGTAGACGTTAGAAATTTGACGGCGTCGCACCATTAGGCTTCAGTTTGACGTTGGCCATCCCACCAACGGTTCCTTTGCCATTGAAAGACACTGCCATGGTTCAGATCGCACGGGCATAGAGGCTCTGCGCGTTCCTGCACTTTCACATCGTTATCTTGGACTTTTCGGTCACGAGGGCTTAAAAGGAATGCAGAATAATGAAAATTCTCTTCCGATTACGCAAGACATGCATAGCGGCCTTGCGAAAGACGTCGTCCGGCGCTGTAAGATCTCCGAGGTATTGGCAGAGAAGGGCATCCTATCGCTGTAAACCGAAGAACTGAACAATGGGCAGCCTGACGTTAGCAGCCTTGCGGAAAACATGCCCAATTCATGAACTTACCTTATGCGGAAGGATGTTTACTAAAATAGGTCGTCAGTAGAAAATAACTTAGGGTTATATATTCCGAGGGACAACAGGACCGGAGACGTTGGACTCGGAAAGACAAAAGATCCTGAGGAGGCCCCACAACTGTTAGCTGACCGTTGTAAATTCCTTCCCCATGGGTGTGGGGAGAGGAAACTGATCGAACCGCGCGAGGTAAATGAGGCGTTACGCCATGCAATTTAACGGACTTAGTAGAAACATCACATAAATGCAAGGCATGTCCGAGACCGTGCATCACGGGAACGTGTTCACTGCTATCTAATCTCAATCAAGTTGCAGCACGGAGATAGTTCGAAAACAAGGGGCACCACAGTACCTATTACTTCTTCTTCTTCTTTCCTCCACCTTTCTGACTGCTGTGCCCTGTGGACGCTCCCCCACTCGCAGGAGGATGATCCATAACGACTCCCTGGGTGGCACCGCCTCCCTTCTTCCGCCCCTTCGCCTGCACATGAGTCGATCTCTCGCTCTTCTTCAGCCAGCGCTCTGGATCGGGCGGTGGTGTCACTCCAGGGATGACACCCTTCGGTACACGCTTCATCCGCACCCGCTTGGGTGCCGTTTTGGCAGGATCTTCGCCGGGTGCAGGGCCCGACGTTGATGCCAAGTTGGAGAGGGCTGCTGCCGGCACCTGTTGCGAGGGCGGTGGGGCGGATTCGAGACTGCTTGTAAGTGCACCCGGCAAGCTGTCCAAGGCGTGCAGGAACTCGACATTGATGAAATCCAAATGCTTCTGAGACGCTTGCAGGTTCGTAAGAATGTCGGCTTGCTCGTCGGATTGCTATACAAGTGAAGTCAAATCACCATGCCGCCGCGAACTGTCACTGGTATTTACCGGCTCGGCTGTATCCAGTAGTTGATTGTATAGGTCACACGCAGTCTGATAATCGCCCATACGGTAAGCCTGGCAGTCGTGTCAACGCTAATGAATGGCCGGAGAAACGAAATCCGGTGAAGAGGGCGCACCAGCTGTGCTTCAAGATGAAGTGCTCCTCGTTCATCCACTCCCTCCTTGCTCTTAAGCTCCCTTAGCAACTCGGCAGCCTCTGGCTCACGCTCCAAGCGGTATAGCGAGTATGCTTTCTCAAAGGAACGATCGATGCCAGCATTACTGGCGTCGATCAGCGCGAGGGCGGCATCATACTTCTCAGTTTGCAGGAGAAGGAACAACTTTGTCTGGATGGCGTCGTTATCATCCGGTACAAGCTTGAGAACTGTACAGGATTAATTACATTTCTTGAGCTTCTGTATCGACATAAATCACAAATGTAACATACTCTTGTCGCATGTCTTCACGGCGTTCGCGAAATGACCCCCGTCAATCTGTGCGCACAACGACGTGAACAACCGCCGTAATCTCTGCGGCAGAGGCAAAGGTTGCTTCGGTTTCGCAGCAGGTCGTTTACGATTCGCTCCCTTTGCCTGTCCGGGTTTTGCAGTCGTCGGTTTCGTCGGTTTGGGCCCCATTGATGCAGTCGCGCCGTTGTGGCCGTACGTGACCAAGTCGGTTCGGCAAAGGCCGACTTTAGCTCTCCGTCCTCCCTCTACCAACTCTGGCTCGCAATGTCGACCGAAGAGTAGGCGTCGGCCGTGCTTGCCCGCGATATGTACTAAACATGTTTTATTAGGCCAATGCAGGATGTCGAGAAGCCAGAGAGCCAGGAAAACCAGGCGCAGGAGCCGCCCACCGCGCCGGCAGCAATGGCTGCTGGTAACAGGAAGCGACCCCGCCTCGACTTGGGTGCTGTCGCTGGAGGACAGCATAAACGCGGTAGAAACATGTTTGGTATCTTAGTGGGCACATTGAACAAAGCCAAGATCGAGGAGAAGGAGAAAAGTGCGAGCGAAGCGGTGCGTGTTATGGTTTATGATGCGTAATAAGAGGCAGGCAACTGACTGGCATGTTTCGATGCAGGCAAAGAAACGGCAGTTATTGGAGCAGAGGTTACAAGCTAAGCTACGAAAAGAGACTGACTCTGTCAGGAGAGCCGAAGAGGCCAAAAAGGACAAGGTGAACGCGAACAGGAAGGAAGAAGAGCTGCAGCTCAAGGACTCGATAGTAAGCATCTCGCTTCTTCCGCATTGCTCAAACGTCTTACGCGAGTCCAGCACAAACTCCGCCGAACAAGATATCCCTTACTCGCCAATTTCCTCTGCACGACTGATCAGATCCCCATGGATGGCTCAGAGCCACCACCCATGAACCCCCTTTCAAACCCACCGCGATCCCACCCCCCACCTATATACTACCTTCCCGCTGTCCTCACACCCGCTCAAGAGGCCTTCTTGAATCGGCGAAAGGCTGAGGTACGACACGTACCGCTCATCATGTGTGGGTTACAACATTGATCTTTGATGTTCATTAGGTCAAGGAGGCGGCTGAGAAGGAATGGGAAGCCTTCCGCGAAGAGCGGCAAAAGGGCATCGAAGAAATCAACGAGCTCCGTCGACGCGTCGCCGAAGAAGAGGCGCGCCAAAAGGCTCAGAAAGAGACTGAAAACGACGTTGAGATGAACACCGACGAAACGCCTAAGGAAGCTGCGGCGGCGAATGGGGACTCCCAGCCTGCACCTGCGGAGCCATCCCCGGAGAAGCCTGCCGAGAACGGTAGTGCTGCACAGGAAGATGCAGGGATGGATGTGGACGACAGCGCGAGCCCGGAAAAGGTCGATGCCGCTAAAGACGATAAGCAACCGGCGGAACAGGAGAAGGAGAAGGAGCCCGAGCGCAAGGAAGAACCTGCGCCGATGCAGGCGGATGATGTGGACGCGGTGGAGTACTGATGGGACAAGGTATTGGTATTTCCCCTTTTCATTTCTGCTTTCCCTGTGGCACGTGCTTATCCTTGTATGATCTATCGTGCTTTCGTGGGTGTTGCTCATGTATCCTAATGGCTCTGAATGTGCAATCATACGACGTTCCCCGCCGCTCGATAGAGGAGCAACGAGACGTCGCAAGGGAAAGCAGCCCACATTTCACATTGTTCACCTGAACGACTTCTAAAATGTAGGATATCCCTAGTACAGACGGGGTAATAAACAATCAAAGACGAGCAGTGTTCTATGGCGTTGCCCTTCCAGGCCATCTAGACAAGAAAGTGGTCAGACTTCTGAAGGAGCGAATATGACGCCACGTACCTTGGGTACAAACTGCATTCTCTGACGGTATATCTGTTCGCCAGCCATGCCAAGAGTCGCTGTAACAAATGTTAGGGATCATCACCTACGAGATTGCCACAACACCGCTCACCTCGACACCAAGCCCATAGCCACCATGTGCGCAAGTACCATACTTTCGTTGATCGGTGTACCAGTAATACGGAGTTGGGTCAATTCCTTCCCGCTTATATCCCGCAAACAGCTCATCCAAGTCGTCGATCCTCATCGACCCGCCTATGGGAAAAAATAACCGGTGAGCGAAATTCCAAGTCTGGTACGGACCATCCCAGACGCACCAACAATCTCGCCCACACCCGGCATCAGTAAATCACAGCTCTCCGTGAACACATGTCCCTCGCCGTCCACCCGCATCTTCTTCATATAAAACGCCTTGAGCTCCGCGGGGAACCCGTACAGGAACACCGGCGTCCCGATGATGTCCGTCATCTGGCGCTCCGCCGCCTCCGCGATGTCGTCGCCCACCTTATGCGGGACCATCACCGTGAGCCCTTGCTCCTTGATGACATTTCCTTCTGCGTCCTCGGCCTCGTGCATGATGTTGTGGTCGTTGAGCCACTTGATCGCGTCCACGTACGAGAGGCGCAGGAAGGGCCGTGCGGGGGCTTTAAAGGACGGGTTGAGCTGCTTGATGTACGCAGCTGAGGTGGGGTTCGCAAGCAGACGGTCGACGGTCTCGCAGATCTGTGAATGTTCGAAGCGTCAGGATTTACTAGTAGCTCTTACATCGGAAGACAGGGCACGCACGATGGCTTCAATGTGGGTCATCAGGTCGTCAAAGTTGATGAACGCAAGCTCAGCCTCCAAGTGCGTGTACTCGCTCAGATGGCGGCGCGTGTGGCTGCACACAACCATTCAATCATCCTCGACAGAGAAAGAGAAAGACAGCACTCACCTGTTCTCCGCACGGAAACTCTCCTGAACGCAGAACACGTCCCCCAAGGCGGGCAGACATGTTTCGAGGTACAACTGCGAGCTCTGGGTGAGGAACGCAGGTTGGCCGTAGTAGTCGAATTTGAACAGCGTCGCGCCACCCTCGACCTGCGTCTGCACCATGCACGGCGGCGTGACCTCCGTCAGACTGTGCGCGGTCAGGGTCTCTCGGAACGCGGCGAGCAGTGCCGCGCGCAGCTTGAGCACGCTCGAGGCGGTCTCGCCGCGCAGGACGAGATGGCGCAGGTCAGCGAGGATGGAAGGGTCGGATTTCTATGGACGTAGCGGCGTCAGCACGCGGTAATGAGGATATGGGGGATGCCTTGCCTCGTTCAATCGGTTGGTAAAGGCATCGTCAGCACCTGGCGCGGCCCCGAGGACTCTCCAATAGTCCACGATCAGCTCGTGCCCACCGGGCGCAGTCTTCCCCTCGGGCACTTCTTGCAACGTCCCTGTTAATTGTACCGTGGATTCAAGGGTCAGGGTAAGCGCTTCGTATGTCCGAGCCTGCGATCACATCTCAGCGGGAGGAAACGTGCGGGGGAGCTGCAAAACTTGCCACAAGCCCGGAGAGAACACATTGTAAATATCCGGTGCCATCGCGCAGCACGATGAATATAATGTCTTTTTGCGAGCGTAATCTGTGCACCCATCCGTTCACGCGGACGCGCTTTGAGCGTAACGGGGCGAGATGTACAATCTTTGCCTTTATAAATTCGGATTCAGCACAGCCGCCCTAATTACTATCATTTGACGCTCACCTTTGTGGCCTTCGGGAGACTCACATCCTCCTTCAGCTGGATCTTCTTGCTCTCCTCAATCAACTTCTCCCTCCGCTCCCTTTCGGCTGTCTTCTCTTTCGCTTCTCTTTCCGCAAGCTCCTCCGCTTTCTTCTTCTTCTTCTCGAGCCCCTCCGCTCCCTTTTTGGCCTTCTTCAGCGCAGATTGTGTCGGTTCGTCGTATAGGGTGTTGGGATCCTTGCGGATCAGCAGCTTGACTGCGTCCCCGTGTGTGAACAGTGCGAACGCGAGCGACTGGTACGGCGCGGACTCGCTGCCGTTGCCGGGCGCGTCGACTCCGGCGGTCTCGTCGACATAGTAGACGGTCGACATCGTCGATTATAACGAGGGGGATGGTGGTCGTCTGAGTGAAAGAAATTCAGAATCTAAATGACTCCTGCTGTAGTGACAGATTTAGATCGCATGATCGGTTACTACTTTAGATGCCGCTATGAGTCTACCGTACTGTCTACGCGCTTAGATTCGCTCTTTTGAGAAATGCAGCAAGGTCGATTCACACGACCTTCAGGAAATGAAAAATCGAGGGAGGGCGTGCATATTGGGGGGACTTAGGAATGAAAAGAGGATAAGTCCAGGAAATAGATCCTCAGCTGTGACTACTTGCACGAGTCACGGTACGCAATGCCAGACTTCAGTGTAGATAATTTTGTCAAAATTTGTGTCAAATGAATGGTGAGAGGAAGAGGTGGAGCCTCAGATACAGAACTGACTGTCTGATCATGAGCCAGGCAAGAGGTTTCTAATATATTTGTTCTCCGAGAGGGCTCTTGAATTCACGTGCTTCTCCATTTCCTTGCTTTCCGAAAGTAAATACAGAGAATGCGATGGTGGACTCGGCGATTCGACGTATTAAAGTTCAGGAGCGTCCATTCAAAGATCACACAAATTGAACTGCGTTCGCAGAGTGGCAACACTGGACATGCAAGGCAGGTACGAGTTTGAGCCGAATTGATTGGTGTTCGGGTTAGGGTTGAATAGTTTTGAAATCCGTGGCCCCAAGCCAAGCTTGAAATAATATTCAATAATTGAACCCTCGACGAACGTGTCCTCTGTATGCTCATCTCTCTCCTAGGCCATTGTCATATAGTCTGAAGGCGGCGGTTTATGTACTCTGGTTCTCATAACAGAGTAGATCGTTTTCTAAAGCGGTCATTGATAAGAATCTAGGTGCGTTTCAGAAGGCATGGGAAGTTGGGAATGTCCTGATCAATCCTCAGGCTTCAGCGCTGAAATGACGCGTACCAGCAAGACAATAACGCATACAGCCCAGGGCTGAACAAGGCGGACTCCTAGAGTTTATCTGAAGTGGGCGCCCACAAGGACACACAAGTTCATCTGTCGATGTGGGCGCCCCCTGTAGATTGCCGAAGTCTCGAGCCTCGTTTCGTATGAACGACGTTGTTCTTGTTCTTTCGGCACAATAGACACTCTACTGGGAACCTGTCTGCTCAATTATGCGGATAGCTACTTGTTCTTGGATCAAGTTTATGCTGCGCATGCAATAAGGTCATAAAGGGGAAGGGGGCGGCGACCTGAGCGTCCTAAGGTACGTGCCCGGCACCGCCGATTATACTTCCGCCCTCGCCGATCACCTGCTTGTTGCAAGAAAAACGGGCACAAGGGAGGCGGACGAGCGCGGTTGCAGATGGATACAGTCCCCAAGTGTTTTCATGCATCTTATGGAGGGTTCTGCATATGGTGAACTCGTTGTCCCCCCACAATCAAGAAGCAGGAGACAATACTCAGGACATCTCACGGCCTGTTGTCCTCCCTTCCCAATGCTGTGCTGTCATACCCAGCATGATTCGGCGGAACCGCGTGGTCCATGTGGTATAAAGCTCGGATACAGGCTAGCCTTATATTCCGTTCGTTTCGAGTGCTACCAAGGTCCTCAATCATGTCCATGCGAGATCGACTTGACCGATTGGTTGCCGGGTCCAAGTCAGCAGCTCGCAAATTCGGCCAAGCAGTATTGCAACCGCGTTATGCGTCTATTGTTTTTGCTGGGGCAGAAGTGGGCGTCAACTTGCTGCCCATGCTGGCTCCTATTGTCAACGTGGCAAAGGAAATTGTCGAGATGTGTGAGCAGATGGAATCGAATAAGTAGGCAGTGTTTCTCAACATCATTCCCCAGAACTTAACCCATACCCCCAGGCGAGCTGCGCAACAACTCACTCAGAAGTGCTCGGATTTTGTGACGACCCTCGAGGAAGCATTGAGGCCTAAGTTTCCTTCGTTGACGCTCGAGGAGAATATAAGACAAGCTCTCGCGTACGTTGTCCATTATACACGGCGATCTTTATCAATAACCCTGCCGTAGCATCATAAAGCTAGTAGCCATCCGCGTCAAGGCTTTGACTGAAAAGCATAAAGTAAAGGCTTTTTTGGAAGAGCAGTATATCGCAAACGAAATCGGCGACTGTATCAGCACGCTCGATAGGTGCCTGTCCAACCTTTATGTGAGTCTCCACCGCATCCAGAAGGCGTGATGTTGTACTGAATTTCTCGCAGCTTCAATCTGGGATGGCAATCATTGAAACACAACACATGTTCGAGAGAAACAGGATGAGGGACCACGAAGAGGTCGTGGATCGTATGTCTACAGTCCAGGATACCCAGAGTGCCATACTTCGGATCACAAGGGAATATCGCGAGGATATACGGAATTTTCAAGCATTCATGCAGGAAGTACGTGCATGCTCCCACTATTTCCAGGCAGGCACTAAATTGATGGGACCCCTAGATATTGGGACAGTTGGAGAAGACGAACGATCCCAGACGTTTCGGTCTTGCGGCCAATCTTCACCTATTATTACAAGAGACTGGAGACCTCCTGCCCAACCTTCATCTAGAACACGGAGAAGTACAGGTTTCCACCACCATGCTTCGGACCACGAGAGAGCACAACGTAACCGACTACTACCTCGGGACCTTTCTGGGAAAGCAAAAGGTCGTCGTGAAGACAATCCGTAGTGCACTGGCGGACAATCCCGAATGGATAAGGGTGAGTGGGTTTGCTGTCGTGACATGATACTCGTTCTGAGGCCTACGTTATCAGCGGTTCCGCCGCGAGGCAGAAGTATGGACAAAAGTCTGGAAAGAGGACAAGGGAACATATACCGTGCCTGTCCTGGGCTTTGTGAAAGAGCCACACACGGATCTTCCAAACATGTGGGTTGTTGCTGCACCCCGCCGTTGCGATCAACTGACCTCGTTGCCTTCAGGTGTTTAGTTTATCCATACTATGAGCACAACGCTCTCGATTACGTTCGGAACAACGATACCACCGATCATATGCGTATTGTAAGTCTGGCCTTCATTTGCGGCCACTTGAGCGGTCTTAACGTTGGCGTCAGCTTCAGGGGATCGCGAAGGGCCTAGCTTTCATGCACGATATGGATGTCATGCACGGCGACGTGCGCGGGGTAAGGGCTTTTAGCATCGTGCACGCGACTCCACTAAAGACTACTAGGCCAGCGTCATGATAGATGAGCACGGCAAACCCCTCCTTTCTGAGTTCGGCTTGTCCAAGGTAACTACTTATATGGCCCGCTTATCCATTGTCGTACTGATATAGTCCATCGCACAGATCATCGAGGACGCCAATAAGAACCCGACTGTAATCTTGAGCTGCGAGCTGCAGCTCTCCCAAAGGTGGGCGGCTCCCGAAGTGCTTGACGGAGGGATGCAAAGCAAGAGCTCCGACGTCTTTTCGTACGGCATGACCGTTCTCGAGGTACGCTCATTTTTTAAAACGAGCGAAATATGGCCTAACGGCTGAATGCAGCTCCTGACCCACGAGGCTCCCTGGTACTATCTGCGTGACAAAAGCACCTTTGCCTTCACCAGCAAAGTGGTGCGTGGACAGCGCCCGGAAAGGCCGACGCTTCCCATAATAAGCGTAAGGGGCCTTAACGATGCCGTCTGGGATCTTTTGCAGAAGTGTTGGGCGGAGAACCCACTTGAAAGGCCAGACATGCACTCCATCGTAGAGTCCCTGCAGGCGCTCAAGCATACATCTCGATAACTCGGATCCTGGATGACTGGTATTCTCTTCCACCTCATGATTTAATGCCCTCAGTGCCTACGTAATTTGAATTGTACAATGTCTCGGTAGCTCGACTTGGGATGATTTCTATACTTTACGCCTAATGAATTTATGTCCTCGTTTTGTCGCACGCAAATGTAAATTGTAACCTTGAGACTTGTATGATGCCAGTCCCTTTCGCCATACCTCCGAATCCGAGGCAACGTCAACAGCACAGGACAACCCAAGGATTCAGGCTGAGCCCAATAAACAATAATATATGCAGTATTCATCTGAATCACGATAAATCCATCGGCTTCTCTCCTCCCCCTTCCCCTGGAAAACACAGCTCATTCTCCTCCGCCGCGGCCTCGTCGTCATCCTCGTTCCAGTCGCTCGTCGTCTCCCACTCATTATCGAACTCGATGTCGATCGTCAGCTCGCCCTCTCCGTCCGCGTCGTCTGTCAGCGGCAGGAAGCTCGCGAGCTGGCCCTGAAGCTGTGCGTGGTTGTGTGTGACTGGCTGCACCCACCGGCGCTCGCGCAGGCGCTTGTGCCGCTCCCGGTCCTCTTCGATCCGCTTGAATACGTCGTTTTTGGAGAATTGGAGCGAGGGCTGCCCGGAGGGCGAAGAGGGAGGCGCGGCGCGGCGCGCGTTGAGGCCGGCGGTGATCTCGTCGATTATTTGTGGGTCGATCACGCGTTTGCTGCGCCAGCGTTCCAATATCTGGAAGCTCGGATGTCAGTACACTGATGGGAGCCGCAGTGGAAGGGACTACCGTACTTGCTTAGTGCTCATGAGGTTCGGCAGCCCTTGCCGCCCTTCCGGCACCACGTACCCCACAATCTTCGCCAGGTCTCGCGCGACATAGTCCATATACAGACTGTGATTCGCACTCTCAGGGCCGAGCGACCCCGGCTGAGACTTTGCTAGTAGACACGTCTCGCATAACGAGTCGAGGAAGTACAGGATGTTTATTCGGTGATTAATGTCGCCCTGCCGCACGCGGTCAAACAGGTAGAGCCAGGTCAGACTGATTGGCACACCTTTTGGCACTCTTCGATGACACAATCCCACAGGTCCTCGCCGCAGCGGGCGTAGTACTTCAACGCATACCCGACAACTTTCTGGATTGAGGGTTGCGAGCTGGTGGGTTAGTTCGTTGAGAACGAATCCTGCAGAAGTGGTGGTGAACTGACGCGTTGAGTCTTCGGAGGAGGGTAAGGAATTGCATCCTTACTTCGAATGGATCCATGTTCGCAGAGCTGGTAGTCGTAACTCGTACTGGCAACTTATTCCAGAGATATTAAGTACAGTCAGACCGGCAAAAGGTCTTGGGGGAGACGTTTGTCTGATAATTAGCAGCAGTCCCAGTTTGTGGCTGAAGATTGAAGTGATCTCGGCAAGTCCGGTCCTAGCCGCTTTCTATGCGTGAGAGCCTTTGAAGCTCTCACGAATACAAATTGTCCCTTACCGAAGTCATTTCAAATTCGCTGTATTCTTGATCTTACACTGTATACGTACCTAGACACACTCGATTCTCTAGCTTTGCTCCAGGTCTCGTATTTCTATCTCTCCGACGGGCAGAGGAATCTTCATCTGACATTGTCGGACGTGGCCGCGAAACTTATTTGTCTGAAACTAGGTGGAAGCAGGACTCCCGCAGCGCTAGAGCTTAGAAACACATACGACATTCAGTCGCATTACCATAAGACAGGCGTCCAGCAATTGTAAGTCATACAGTAAATATCAGGTATTCCACTTACTCCGTGAGTTAAGGCGAGCGCTGTCAGACGCCTAATATCTTTCCAAGTGGAAGGGACACTGCTCCATAGCGCCCCCAGCCATGATATCCCGCTTCACTAAAGCTTTCGTCGCCATAATCCTCGCTCTGGTACGCCCTACCACTGCTCTCTCGGTTGCTTCCCTGCAATCAACTCGACTCCGAAACGATAGTTCCTCATCTCCTCGCTCGCCCTTCTTCGCCCGCCAACGCGCACGTACATAGACTCCCTGACGGGCGACTTCTTCGGCGAGGGCGGGGTTGAGCACGACCTGCACCCGCCACCATTGACTTCGGGAGCATCCCTTGAGGTCGCGAAGGGCGGTGTGATCATGGGCAAGCTGGGTAACGAGACCGCCAAGTGAGTGTTTACGCGAGTATGGTGCCGGCATGAGGTGGGGTTAACGGTTCGTAGGGCTGCGCTCGGTCGGGCGACGTGGAAGCTACTGTGAGCACCCCCGCTCTCCCTTGTTTCCGTACACCCACACAGAGTCCCTTGATTAGACACACGATGACGCTACGCTACCCCGAGGTACGCCCGCCTCCTTGCTTGTAACTTGTCTCGTACGTGTTCCTGATTTATGATCACAGAAACCGACAGAAGACGAGAAAGACGCGCTGAAGTCCTATTTCTACCTCACGTCTCGGCTCTACCCCTGCGGGGAGTGCGCCGCCGAGTTTCAGCAACTCTTGCGCAAGTTCCCTCCGCAGGTACTCTCCAGCTCACCTCCCTTTGCATTCATGCATTCATCCTAATACAATGCAATTCAGGTCTCATCGCGCAGAGCAGCAGCATCCTGGTCAGTACCTCCATCTCTCCCGCCCATCTTTTCTCCCTCCCTCCCTCACTAACCCTAACCCCACCAGGCTCTGCCACCTCCACAACCAAGTGAACACGCGACTCCACAAGCCGCAATTCGACTGTGCCCATCTTGACGCGACGTACGACTGCGGGTGCGGCGACGAGCCGGTATCCAACCCCACCCCCGCCGCGGAAGACCCGATGGATCTCGAGGAGGAGGTGGGGACGGGGCGGGACCGTGTCACCGGCGCGGGGCTGATCAAGGGCGGTCGATGACAGCTACTTGTGTTGTGTGTACTTGTTCTTGCTTAAGTTATTGGATTGTATATGGGTTGGAGGGGAGTACGACATAATATGTAACATAGACTTACAGCTTTCGGGTTGCTTGATCCAGGGTGGCGCGATACGGACGCTATTAGTATGGTACCTTCCTCGCCAAACTTGATCAAAACTCATGATTACAAACCGAACGCCTTATCGTCCCCTCAGCCTAGCTACAGTATGCGTTAGCCAGCTCCTCGCCGACCACATAACACACTATAAATAACACGCGCCTACGGACGGTACTAATCTAAAATGAGGAGGTAGTATCGAGACACCTTTTACAAAACCAGACGGTACGTAGTAGTGAGGGTGATAATAGTAGTAATATGACACAAATCGCGCTCAATCCCCCATGCTACGATACATTACGGACTCTTCAACGCTACGTGGTTGTAGTCCCCAGCTGGTAGGAAGACACAAGGTCAGGGCTGGCCCACAGACGGAGATCAACAAGAGAAGACTTACTGTTCTTCCAGACCTCATTACCCCACCAATGCAGCTGGATACTGCCGTTCTTAGGGAACTGCAGCGTGAAGAAGATGACAATCAAAGATATCGCGGTCCCTACAAGAGCCCAATTCATCAGCACCTCTATCCGTGGAGCCTGCAAAACACAAGACACGAGACTTACCGCTATCCAGTGCCGCACTAGTAACATAGTTGAACTTGGACCACCACGCAAAATTGCGTTGGCGAATCAGATACTGGAAGATAAATCCAACAGCAAACCACGACGAGTAATTAATCCCGGTCGCTGGCGGGAGGCCCGACACGCCGTTAAGGATGACGGGCGTGTTCACAAATTTAATCCACGAATTCGGGTACCGCCGCTGCCACAGCCAGAAAGGGACAGGCAACACCGCGCCGACAATCGTGGCGTAGAGTTGGGGGTGGTAAAGGCTGCCCGTGCCGAATTGGCGACTCGGTCCGATTAAGCCCCTGCGCAAGTCCTTAGCACTTGTCCACACAACAACGTTCTACTGCCAAGACGCACCATATTGCCGAGGCGGTATAGAATACCTGATTGTGCGGGCAAGTCAGCTGGCTCGCCTGATCGGCCTGGCACATATCTGGGATATTCGTGAACATCCACTGCTTCACGGCCACCTGGACGAAAGCAGCCAGCGTAGTGGCAACCGCTTGCGCTGTGATGCAACGATTAGCACACATCCGGCAATATGCACAGAACAAGACTCACCCATGAACGTAGCTCGAGGGGGGACCTTGATATAATGCCCAAGCTTCAGATCCTGAACGAAGGAGGTGGCCTCGGTCAGGGTCTGCACCGAGTACGCCTTAAACACCATGTTCGCCAAAGGGTTACCAGGAAGCAGAGTCCCAGGAATGATTTGCGCCAACAAATTAAGCGTTATCTATATGGAGAATTAGATGAGAAGTCAAGATAGCATAGTCGTCAAGTATGAACGTACCCCTTGACCGGTCATAGCATAGATAAAGCCCGAGGGCAACACATATATGATGGGCAGTAGGACCGATAATATCAGCGCCCAAACCGGAACGCCCGTATGCCATACCTACACCACAGATTCTGTCAACCGCCATCTCACGATCAACTCATCAAACAAGCCTACCTCCATCGCCACAATCGCCAGCGCAAAGAAAAGTACAAACACACTCATATACCACCAATCCGGCACCTCGGGGTAATTCCTCATCAGTTTCGCATGGATATCGTCCTTCTCGATGCGTATCCGCTTGACCCCATTCAGCAGGCTCCGCCCGTGGTACAGCACGGTGTGCACGAGCACGCAGGTGGTCAGGGCAAACGCGAGAAGGTACGTGACCGCGTACGTTGCGGGGAGGTAGAGGGGGGAGTACTCGTTGTAGGCCGTGACGTTGAACCTGTCATCGGGCTGCAGGACCCGCGAGATATTGTACGTGTTGCCGTACTTGTCATACGGCTCGTTGCCCGAGATAGGGAATAACGCGAATTTCCACGTCTGCAACGCACTCGGGGTCAACAGGTAATTCGGGCAAACAACAAGTAAACTTACATTAGTGTAATAAAGAATGGGGGTGATAATCCAGAAGAACAGCACAAATCCTACGCCTGAATGAGGACGGTCGATACTCTACGAGGCAACAGCCGTGCTTACCTCCAAAGATATGAACCTCAGCCCACCAAGGAATCATGAGCGGACTCCCGATCCAGGTGATCTGCGACCAATCAAAGGTGACGACGCTCATGCCCAGCCCGGTGTATACGCCAAACAGCTGGTTCACAGGCACGTTGTCGGGCAAAATCCAACACAGCCACGAGAACACCGACAGGCCCGTGAACAGGAATCCTTGTCAGGGCGGGTATTCAGCCATCGCGAAGGGCCGAATCAGCAAAGAGACGTCTTACCAGGCAGGAAGAAGAAGAGAAACGCGCCCAAAAGGACGTACATGAACCACCGGTATCTCGTGATGCCGCCGCTGCCCTCGTCGTCTTCGGCGTGCAGGGTGTTCAGCAGCGTGCACGCGACGAGGTTCTGCGGCCACACCATGCTGGCGGGCCAGACCAAGAACCGCCGGCACAGCCCAGCAAGGCCGAACCCCGTGAGCTGCGTCGCGAGCACGAACGTCAGATTGAAGCCGAAGCCGAGCTTCATCCCGTAGAACACCTCGGACACGACGATCGCGTTCAGCGCGTATGGCGGTCCTACTGCGACGTTCGCCATGATGAAGACAAGGACGTGCTCCTTGATGTTCCACGGCCCCGGGTTGAGGGAGAATTCCTGGGAGCCGAGCCAACGAGGTAGCCGGTAGGTAGTGATGGGGAGGGAGAATGCAAGGAGCTTGCCGATGGGGTAGGAGAGGAGGAGGAGGACCATGGGGACGACGGTGGGCGCGGGGTAGCGGAAATTGAAGAAGACGTTCATTGCGCTAGCAAGGATTAGAATGAGCTAATGGAGAGGCGAAAGACCTGGAACTTACCCTCCAATCATGCAGAGTGTCAGGCCGACGATCCACATGCGGATCGTCATCGCAGGCATGTCCGGGTCGTCGATATTCGACACCGACGCGCGCACCTCGGGGAACGGGCTGTCCTCTTCCTCGATCGCGTCGAAGTCAAACTCCATCCTGCGGGGCTTAGCAAACGTATAACTACAGAACGTACACCACTCACTTGATCGAGCCCTCCCTGCTCAGGTCGTCGTCGTCGATCATGCTCGGGCTGATGCTCAGGCTCGCGGTATCCGCCAGCGACACCGTCGTCGCCTTTGACTTTGAGCACTCCGCCAGGTCGTCCTCCGGCACGTCCGCCTTCTCCAGATCGTCCGCGGCATGAGGAAGCGCAACGTGCACCTCACGCGAATCGCTGTGCCTAGATAACGAGGACGGGGTCGTCTGGGGTGCGTGGCTGACTCGTCGCAGCCGGTACGGGTCGTCGGACGTATGTGACGCGGTCGAGGGCGGGCTCTCCGCTGGTGGGTGGTGGAACGCGGTCTCGTAGGGATTATGCGTAGCGGCTGCAGGCAACAGCGGTCGCGGCGACGAGGGGTCGAACGTCGGCTGGGGATAGGCAAGCAGGGGATTCGGGGACGCGAAGGGCGTCGCATACGCCGAGTACGGCGACAGCGGTGGTGGATCGTTCGACGAATCGTGGTACTGGTGTTGCGGATGTTGCTGGCGCGCCTGGGCAGCGAGCGCCTGCATCTGCGCCTGCATTTGCTGCATCTGCGCTAGCCTCTCCTGCTCATGCTGCTCCGCCGTCGTCGGCGGCAGGTACGCAAACACATCCTCGTCTTCGCTCTCCTCTTCCTCCTCGTCGATAGAGTATTCCTGTGAATAGGTGTACTGTGGGTCGTGGTCGAAGTACGCGGGGCCGCCCGCGGATGTTGAAGGGCGGGCGGTTGAGGGGCGCATGTCGGATGCGGTGAACGGTCGAGACGATGAGGACGTCGGCCGTCGGGCCATGGCGGGAGGGAGAAAGCGTCTTCGTCGTCGTCGTCGTCGGCGGGAAAGAAAGGTTATCGCCACTCCGCCAGCCAATCACATTCCCAGGAACCATCACCGGCTAGGCACCGAGCGGTGCTATCTGTTTTGTTCCGGATATGGCCGGTTTTCCGGGTTATCCGCCGGGTCTCCGGCCGTCAATAATACGGTTAATTTAACTCTTAAGGGAAATTCTGGCCCTCCTCCTCCTTCGCGTTCGTGCATATATTGTTTGGGTAATCCTCCCGTTGTGCCACAAACAAAGTCACAGAATAGCAACCAGCAGCTGCTCTGACAGGCGCCCCCCACATCACAGCCCGGCGCTTGACTTTCGGCCATGGGTGAAATGGCCGGTCAGGTACGTGCCTTGCGCCTTCATATGGGGCTGTCTGGGTTTTCAACGTTTTGGAACCAAGTCCAGACGAGCTCAGAATGACTATCTTGGTACGTTTATGCTTACGCAGGTGCTTCAGCTAAAATGAGCTGCGCACGTCCCAGTCACCCTGTCAGCTTTCCCTGAAACATCTAGACATGCAACGCCCGGGGCACCCAGGTGTTTACGTCTTACGACATTTATTTCATGACTGCCAGCGACAGTACCACTGACTAACGCCATGCGCAGAAGTCGTGGTGAGCCAGGCACGGAGCCACGATCAGACAACATCTAATCAGTCTATGGGCAGGTTAACAGACCGCCACAGGCACTGTGGGCTCCCATTTCATTACATGCGATGTCTCCGTCCCGCACTTACGCTGAATTCGACATTCAAGTCTTGCCGTCACCTTCAGGACATTTTGACATTCCTGTGCCCAGCGAAATAGGGCTCGTACCTGGCTCATTTCTGCCAGACGTCGAGCTGCCTACTGCTGCCTCACGCATGGCTTATTGCAGCTTATTGCTTGGCCGATCTGCTACTTGGCAGGAGGGCAGTGTCGCCCTACGCTACAATGGCATGTACGGTATTGGCTGTTCCACCTGCCGGGGAGGCGGAACTGTCCGTCTTGGGATGCGCAACCACGTAGCTCAACAAACTAGTCTCCGGGCAAGTGTTTGGAGCTATCCACTGAAAGAAACATCAAAGCACTGACACGTCACACAGTAACGCTGAGCCTGGTAGACTCGTACAGCACCTACGAAGGGTGATACCCCTCGTAGAGTCAGGCCGTCACTTGCTCGGGGCTACCGAATATATAGTAACACCGAAGCGGACACACTTACGAGCACAGGAACAATCTTGCAGCCATTCCATTCAGCTTTGTCGTCTTTCTGTTGACCCGCATTGTAAAATTTAAAACGTTTGCCCTGCCAAGTCATCCAAGGCTCAACACAACTGCAGCAATCTCGACTCTAGTCGTCCTCATCAATCTAGTCGTTTTGTACATTATGGTTACCGACGAATTTCAGTACATAGCCCTTATAGCTCAGTGGTAGAGCGCATCACTCGTATGTTATGATGAGGTCCGTCGTTCAATCCGGCGTGAGGGCATATTTTACACCTTATTTTTTCATCTTTGCCATTCAACGGAACACAGTGGGCAAGGACCGGTGTCCCGCCATCGGACATTCATCTTTCATGGCAAGGGTGGGAGAACACTTTCCTAGGATGCTCCATAGCAGAACATGATACAGACATAAAGAATGAAAGGACAACATTAATCAAATGTCCTGCAGACCTCTCTTTGTTCACTCAAAGGACATTCTTCATGTCCAGGTTATGGTCCAGCAAGGACCATTCTAGGAAAGTGTTCTCCCAACCAGGGGATGTTCCTGGCATGCCTGCCGGTGGGACATTGGTCTCTGCCCGCAGTGGAAATTATGCACCCCGATGTTGCTGCATAAGCACTGCGGCAAGTCTTAGACATGTAAGCACAAAGGACCAAGAATATCGACTACTATCATTGAGGGGGTTCTGCAAAAAGTATTGAATTCAGCTTGTAGCACTCCGCACACTTGACGGATTCTTATCAGATTTTCCGCAAATTGTGTAACTTAGTACTAAATCTCCTGACCATTTTGTGCATTTTTATGCAGCCTGTAGAATGCAGGAGAGAGATGCCGGGTCATGTAGGGGGTTCTGCAAAAAGGTGTCACGTGCGGTCACAGGGGGATCTCGCCGCAAACGATGTCACGCCTTTGTCACGATATGGGCCTGGGAGATGTGCAAAGTTGCCTCTCTATCTCGACATGCTCATTATTTCCTCTATCGGGATGGTGTATTGTACTGTAGATGACATATTCATGATACCCCAAGCCATTCCACTGCAGTCCGTTGAGAGCATCACGAGAGATCTAGTGGACACTGTTTCTTTCCCATGGCCTACAGGACCCATTTTCTCTCCTTCTCTTCAACCACAGCAGATATTCCCATTCTGACTTGGCAGAGGGTCTATTCTAGTGTATATATACCTGCCTGAGCTTACCCAACATTTTTTGGTTGAGTCTGGAATGAGATATAAGGGGGTGAGGGGGTTCTGCAAAATTTGCAGAACCCCCTCAATGATAGTATAAACACTGAACATGAAGGCACTCGATCAGCTGATCCGGTGGTCCCCCCCGGGGGGGGGGGGGCAGTTAAAGTCGAGGGATTTCGCATCACTGTCAAAGTTACCATAATGACACGTACGGGCGGTAGCAGAGAAATATTCAACAGCAGCCGTTGACCGTCATAACCGCTAGGACACATGCATCACATTATCGATTCAAAGTAGCCGTCATCGACCCTGCACCAGCTCTCCAGCCATCTTCATCAGTGCAAAATTCCCGGGGACGATGCCAGCTCTAATGAACGCTCTCCATCATGGTGAGCGTTGCAGCAGGCATTCGTGAGTCTCAAGGAGCTATTTATGCATCGACTCACTGATATGCACGATACGTATATCATTGTTCCCAAGTCAGCTCGAAACACTCCTCCTTACGCTTTAGAGACTCGATCAGGAGCCTCTCCCTAAGTCTCCTCGGGCCGTATTGCAGCAAATTGCAGCAAAGCTGAGTCCACCACGTTCAGGCAATATGTGACTGAGTTCCCGTCTTCCAGGCTGCCTTTGATTGATAGGTCGCAGAGCAGAAATACTACGCGGGGTCGGTGCGCGCAGCGGAAGGAAATGCAATGCTTTGAAATTCATTTGGATATGATTAGACCTGGTCCGTGCGTGCGAAAACACCGGATAATCCCGAAACCCCCTCTTTGTCGTCGTGCCACAGCTTGCGCGCAAACTGTCACGACCGTCACCTCCGTCACCGCGCTCGGCGCATTTACAATGGCCTCGACGTCGGACGCGTCGACGACGACAATTCCCCTGTACAAGGGGAAATTCACGAACCGATCGTGGCATCAGTTACCGCCGGAAATAATCAGGTCTTATGTCTCCTGTTGAACGTTGAGTTCGCGGTGCTCAACGCTATTTCATAGGCTAATCGCCACACACTATTTGCTGGATGTCTCACCTTCGTCGTATTGTCCGCAGACATGGGAGATACCACAGTTTTGGCCGATGCGAATGATGTACACGGTCCTGCGCGACGCGCTTCAAGTCGAGAAACTGATGCAGATCTGTCCGAGTTGGCATACAGCCAGTGAGCTTCAAGTTCTGCCATTTGTTTCAACCCTAATCGCGTTCTGGCAGTCGAGACGCATTTATTCTGGCAGCACGCTTGTGCGGTGATCGACCCGCACGACCTGCTTCTCGCGCACTCCATCATCCAGCCGAACCCGAACAGTGCCGCCACAGCAACGGCGAACGCGCGCCCCGTGCGCCTGTCGCCGTTCCAGCACTTCAGAAACATCACCAGCTGCTCGTGTTATGTCTGCCGGATCAACCACCCATACCAGGACCACGGGCTCACGTCGTGGAAGCGCAACGTGCACACGTACTGGCTCGGGACGGTGCCGTCGTGTCGGGAGCACCGCAAAGCGACGTTCTGCGGGCTGTGTCTGCGCGAGGCGCCGCCGATGGAGCTCGAGGAGCAGTACAACGCGGTGAGCTGCGCGGAGAACGAGGACGAGGAGACGTGGCCCGGGATCGAGGCGACGTGTCGGAGCTGCCGTGCCGAGTGGCTCTGGCAGCGCGCGGCCGCCGGCAGCCCGCGCGACCAGGCGGCGATCGGCGGGCCCAAGTTCAACGCGCACGACTGGGAGACGCGCCAGTCGATTGACGCGTTCATCGAGATGGGAGAGGGCACGATCTCCGAGGTGCTCGCGCTCGCGCAGGAGAAGCTCTGGCTCCGCAAGCACACGAAGCTCCCGGACATGCTCCAGCAGGCGATCGCCGCGTCCAGGTACGCGTCGCGCGAGGAGGGCTACTCGAGCACGGACGACCTCAGCGAAGACGAGGAGGAAGACCCCGAGCTGCTGTCTATCACCGAGGAGGCGGGTGGCGTGCGAGACCTAGCGATCAACGACTTCGCGCGGAATCGAATATTGGACGGCTACTGGTTCAGCCCGGCGGATCAGTGGTATGGCCACACGAACGGGGATCGCTCGCCCATCGTCCGAGCCATTCACCCATGTCCCTGGTCTCTAGATCAAGAAGATGGCGACGAAAACACTCTCCACCCTCGCCCGGCCACTGTGCGTGCCGAGACGCCACCATCATTCCAGCTGTGCGAAGCCGTATATCGGGCGTACCAAAAGCAGATGCGTATCGTGTTACTACCTGCGATGAATAACATCGTGCGAAAGATTGTCATCGAGTGCGCTGCCGACCGCGTGGATCCTGCTTTGAGAGCGAGTAGAATGGAGATGGAGGATGTGGCGGCAGCACTGCGGGACGAGAGCATGTGGTATAACGGGATCGATTGGTTAGAAAGAAGGGCGAACAAGAAAAGAGAAGAAAGAGACAGGCTGCGAAGGGAAGAGGAGGAGGATAGGGAGAGCTCGACCAGTTCGAAGAGCGACGACTCGCATGCGACAAGCCCGGTGCTGAGTACATCTACGCTCGGTACGACCCCTTCCCCGCCGCCTCTCGTGACGAAAAAGGATGATGAAGTAGAAGGACTGCGTCAGGTTCCCATACCGGTTTCGCCTGTGCTCGAGACTCCGAGATTGCTGCATCCGATTCCGTACATACCTGTGACTACCTCGCACATGCCGCCGTTTAGTCAAGAGGCGTTTAAGATGGTACGTCGCGTTGACTTCTTTATCACGTCATGCTTGGCTTAATCGGCAATCTAGGTATGGCGCGAAGCATGTCAGCCCCTATATCAATGCCGATGCAAGATCTGCGAGCGCGCGATGATCAAAGCTAACATCGAGGCTGGAAATCTCATTGCCAGCGAGTTGCAGGCACAGCAGGCCGCCCCGGAGTCGAACGTGCAGGCGGATGACCAGAACCCGGGTGAAATACGGATAGAGGACGCGGAGGAAGAGGTGCATTTTGAGGAGGAGGAGGAGGAGGTTGAGGAGGAGGAGACCAGCACGACGACGACCGAAGATGCCAGGGTGTACACAGTCACTCCTCGGAAGCGATCGCGCGATCTGGAGGAAGACGCGGAAGGTGAATCAGATCGATCTCAGTCTGGGGAAGAGGATGATACTGAGCGGAGTCGGACGCCTCCCAAACGCGTCCGAAGAGAAGGGAACTATTCGGCGCTAATCGCAACCACCAGGGTGCGACTGTCGGCTTCGAAAAAGCGGAGTTCGGAGGAACTGGATGATGGGCCCCCGCGTCGCTCTGCCTCGCGAGAGAGCGGGAAACGGCGACGGATGTCATTGGAGAAGGATGTCGATGAAAGCGAAGAGGATAGCGGGACCTCGCCGCCTACGAGTGTCTTGCCATCTGCTGAGGAGGAGTTTGACGACGATCTTGAAGTCACGGTCACCCCGAGTCGTGGCAGACGTGCAGCATCGCCTAGTCGCGTTCCGCGTGCGGGGCACAAAGTCCCCTCAATAGGCGATGCTCCTGAAGCAGCGCTGAATAGGACGGTCCCCAGCGTGGCCGGGTTAACTGTCGGTAACGCTAAAGCTGGCCACATCTTGAAATAAAGTGGTTTCTTATTACTCAAGGGACGCGCGACCCAATGTACTTTTAGCAGCTTTACAGTTTTTAACCCCCTTGTACCCCCACCCGAATCTTCGCCTTTTCGTCTCGGAGTCGTGTCCCTTTGCCCTTTGTGTTGTATAACCTGCTGTCTTGTTTTCTGTCACCAATAAAGTGCGTTTGAAGGCATCTCACATCGATCATGAACGGACCGCAGAACGTCTACTGTGGGAGGTTGTGGGCAGTGTTGGCATTGCAGCCGCTTGCAGATCGATAGACCATCAATTTAGAAAACTACTTCTTCCGTGAGATCTACGGTCCTGTGGCGGGGGAGCTACAGTCCATTACAGTCCCAGTTCCCACGCCTTTTGGGACCCCGGCCTCCCCATTCCCCGTCCATCCCGGCCTGCTGGAGGGCCAGATACACGCCTCCCGCGCTTCAAATATTGTATGTACATGCAAATATAATCTATGCTATTGTTAGTGATATTTGAGGGTCAAAGAAGCGCATCAGGCGCTCGGGAACTCTACGAACGCGCGGGTGAGGTAACCAGATATCTACCCGAGGGACTGTAAATGCCAAGGCTATGGACTGTGAATTTCGCCAGCGGAAATCGCGTCGTGACGCGATTTGGCGCGGGCGCGCGCCGAAATCGACCCCCTCCTCAGCTAGGTTCGGGTCGGCAAATTCACAGTCCCAACCGCGGCATCACAGTCCACTCGGCACCCAGATCTTTGGCTTGCCCCGAGCTTTAGCTGACCTACTTGCTTGCTCCTGGTCTTTATTCCTTACTTGTCTGTACTGTACTGTAACTGTACATGT